ACGAAGCCCCAACTAATAAATGAACGAAGAAATGCAAACCTTGATTTGAAGAAGAAAATAAAAATATAATCCTCGAATTGGGAAATTATAATTGAGACCCGAGTCTGGACATAAACCAAATTTGAGTTTTTCCTGCATTGCTTTTGCTGGCATTAGTTTGTGACTCAATTGAACTCCATCTTCAAAAAGTTGTCAATTGAGGACTCGTTTTTTTTTTTTTTTTATCTTTCTTCTTCATTGAGGACTCTTGTCATGACGTTTCCAATTTTTCGGTTCCGGATCCGGGTTACATATTTTATTCTCAAATACCGTCTCACACTAAACCCACAAAAACCGAAAGAGGGAAATCTAAAGTGAATGTAACCCATTTTCATCTGTTCTTTTGGTCTCTGAAATTATATTTCTTCTGAGATTTCAATAGGTGCCCTACCGGGTTCAAGTGTGGAATCAACTACCAACCACCCACCGTGGTCCCTGGGGGTGACCTCGCTAAGGTGCAACGTGCAGTGTGCATGATCAGCAATAACACTGCAGTTGCCGAAGTCTTCTCCCGCATCGACCACAAGTTTGATCTCATGTACGCTAAGCGGGCTTTCGTCCACTGGTACGTGGGTGAAGGAATGGAGGAAGGCGAGTTCAGCGAAGCCCGTGAGGATTTGGCGGCTCTCGAGAAGGACTATGAAGAGGTTGGTGCTGAGGGTGTTGATGATGAAGATGAAGGCGAAGACTATTAAAAGTAATGTTTGTTGGTATCGTGCGGGTTTACCATCTCTTTGTAAATTGCTATGCTTTGTGCTTTCCGCTTGTCTTTGGATCTTGGTGTCTGTTTCTTAACAATTCTGAATTTCTGAGTATGATGTGCAAGGATTCATGTTGGTGTAGTTAATTGCTATATTTTATTTTTCCTCTTCGTGTCGTATTCTCGTTTCAGGGCATCTCTTATTTTGGCACACATTGTCGTGGCATTAAAAATTGGGAAACATTGAAAGAATTGAAGTTCCCTAAAATGCAGAAAATATGAAATGTGACGTGATATGTTTTATCATTTGAAGGAACATTCAGAAAAAAGGAATGAAGTTAAACAAATGAAATACATCGGAAGATCCTTTATCGATAGCGCTAGAAATGACACTAATCCCACAAAACTCAGGCACGAAAACAATAAACATAAAATTACCATTCAATACAAGATGTTTAAAAGTTGAGGAATGTTATATGTACATAATATTGTACAGAGGGTGTACATAACACTCACAATTAGTGGGATCTACTAAAATTAAAAAATCAACTGGACTTCACCCTATGTAAGTGTTATGTACACCCCTATGTACAACTTACTTGTAGCATTTTCTTTTGCACATGTATAAATATACTTTCGTTTAGGGGATGCTTGGATATAAAACATTTTAATTTTGTTTGGATTTTTTAGTTTGGTTAAAAAAAAAAAGTGATATGATTAGTTTAGGGGATGCTTGATATAAAATACTTTATGATATAGCCATACTATCGTATAACGGTTCAATAGCATCGTGGTTCAGAGATCACCGAGTCGACTTACGCGAAGTCGACTCTGTCCGCAGGTTCTTTATGGTATCCCCGGTCAAGGGTCCAGGCATTTCGCCCAGTCGACTTCCACGTGCCGACTGGCATAAGTGGATTTCCTCTTGGAAGACGGTCAAACGCGTGAGGATCTACTGACAATTGAATATGGTTCAGTCGACTCGAGTTGATATCCCGAGTCGCCTGAGGAAGTCTTGAAGCTCATAAGATCTCGACGACTCCAGTGCACTTCAACATATCGGAGGACAGTTGTTGAGGATAAGAAGGAAGCTACCAGAGATAAGGAAGAATCTAGATGTTGACTAGGAAGTGGACGGAATGCGAACCGACCAGGGTATTTTGGACATCTCCAGTAAGTCGACCAGGGCATTTTGGGGACTTCAGGTAAATGTTTTACTTCTATATAAAGGAGCTGAGGTAACTCCAAAACCCTAATTCCCATTCATTCTACATACTCCTCCATTGCTGCTGCTTCCTCAGAGCAGCTCTTTTCACTCTTTTCACATACTGACTTGAGCGTCGGAGGCTCTACGCCGGAAACCCCTC